AAAGTCAATTAATTTAAGACAAACAAGCGAATATACGCGAATATTATGGTGAATATACGGCCTTCAATACAGCGACAAGATGCGGCGAATTCGATCCTCGGCTTGCGTCATGTGATATGAGGGCCAAACAAATGAAAAAGTACAATTAACACAACTATATATACTGTATCTTCCATATGATATACCATCCGCTAACATACTTCACAAGCATGGTCAACCCGAGACTCTGTGAAGTTTGCTATAGCCCCAATACACAATCACATCATTATTCAATGTTTCATTAAAAATCACAACATCTCTCCAAAACCATCCACTTATCTCCTTAATGTAATTTTGTGGAACCAATGGGGTAGTTTGTCCAGGGCCGTTCCGCATGCCGTTCGACCCATGTTCGCCTTTCTTTACAGTCATTTTTAATGATATTGACCGAATATATCACCTATTCACACCACGTTGAAACGCGGAACTGGCTAGGACTGCTTCGGACTGCTTTGGGCAATCAGTCCCTATTATATATTATATATATTACTTAAAGGTATTAACCTATATGGTACATACTATACGTAATGACTGCCATACTGTGCAGTCACAAAAATGTTTGCCAGACCCTGGGCGCCATTTTACAAAACATCTGGGATGATTAGTCTAAGACCCCAATTTTAAATAAAGTTTACCCTTGTGGCATAATTAAATGTTCTGCCAGATTCTACAAACCGTATTTTTGTAGATTGTACAACAACTACTTATTCTACCTATCAATAGTTAGATACATGACACAAACCATAGGACTCGTGACATGCATATCTCACGCCATGGTTTGCTTTCAAGACCCTGTGAGTATGTACATAATCTAACTGCATCCATACTTCAATACTAAGGGATAAACCTACAATCCTCACATAGACTTAACCACATGTGACGAACAGATTATGGAATACACAGTTAACAACAAGGATTAAGCTTACAATATCTCACTGCATGGTCTACTTTCCAGACCCTGTGAAGATATATTTAAGAAAACCTTTTACTGAAATGAGATACAGGAAAATTACATAGCGCACAATCACAAGTCATGTTACCAATTCCTAATTTACAACATCGCAGTATGGTCAAATCCGACCCTGTGATATCGATAAATTCATGTGCATCATCAAATTACACCTATCAATTACCAAGTAATAACTTTACATACAGCACATGCTAACTTCAATCACGATATTTCTACAATGGAATGACAAAAAGAGACACAAAACAACGCGTGCACCTTTTATACAATGTTTCACGGCATGGTCTACTTTCAAGACCCCGTTGAAAATAACAGTAATCCATTAGATAAATAATGATTTTAAGTACACCACAGGTCCAAGACGCATGTAGAGGTCCTATTACCTATCCCAAAATTAAAATATTGCGACGTCGTAGATCTTAAGCTGTCTAATGTCTAGAGTAATGTCTGTAATGTCTAATGAGCTTTTGGGAAAACTCCGTTCCACTGATTCGTGCATCGTGCCAATTATGAACTATATTGCAAGTCGTGCTTTGCCTTTGGCAACTAGTCTTATATATATTTTTTTGAAACGTTGCACTATTTTCGGATCCCTATAGTTATTTTAGTCAAAACTAGATATAAAATAACAGTAAAGCATGCCATATTATAATGAAACAAACAGAAACAACAACAAATTATGCATACTAAATATATGAAATGCTTCCAAAGGCAAAAATCCATAATTTTCCTGACTTCTGTTTGGCAGAGTGAGAAGGATATGCAAAATATTCATACTGTACAAGGTGTCTAAAAACACACGCTATGGAAATTCAACGGGCTCATGCAGTCGTGCATGATAAACGTGGCTATAAATAATTAAACTTTTACATATACGACGAAAGAACAGTTATTTAGCTTTTCAATGGACAATGACACTCTTTTCAAATCGTAACGATGAGAAATGGCCACATACTCGTCAAATAAAAATTGCCGGTCGAAATCACATTCTTCTACCGTTGAATTGCATGGAAAACGAAACATAGGCAATTCCCAAAAGGGAATTAAAATTGAATGTTAAATTATCTAAAATGAGCTCAACTCGTCACTGAATCTAGTCGTCTTAGTGAACTCAATAAGAACGTCATTATTATTAAACATGGTTCAATTATTATTAACCCTGAACAGAGAACATTCGTGATCAAAACGTTTTACGAAACAAATAGCCTGTAGGCTCCCGTTGCTTTTGATTGACTAACTTTGCATAATTAATGTGTTTTTAATTCCCAACGGTGGAAGAATGTGATTTCGACCGGCAATTTTCATTTGACGAGTATATGGCCATTTGCCAACCTTACGATTTAAAAAAGGTATCATAGAAAAGCTAAATAGCAGGTCTTTCGTCCTGTTGAATTTCCATAGGCTTAGCGTTTTTGGTGAAACACCCTGCGGTATTGATATTGAAATGAAGCAATACATGCAAACTTAATCAAGCACATCTGCCACGTATCACATCTCTACCAGCTCACGTAATAATTTCTATCACTGATATTATCTTTGAGCCTGCATATATAAAATAGACCCATATAGATGGGTCTAACTTACCAGATGTCTATAAAAATTGGACATCCAGTCATAAATATCTCGGCTAATCGATTTACCCAACCTAGCTGCGAAACAGGCATGGTCAGGGAACAAGATTGGAGTCTGCGCCACAGAGTATTTGTTTACTCTTCAGTTTAAATATCCGTGGGCCTTGCAAATATTTCTAGCTATTACGGTAAGGTGCACGAATGTTAAATTGCTCCAAACAGGAAAAATGACCAAGACTTACCTGCTTCTGCTGCGAGCTCCAAAGTCTGCTGATAATCCGTTGTTGAATGATCTATCCAAACCCCTCCTGGTCGCAACCCGGCTAAAACTCCGCTATCTCCCGTCATAACATCTCTAACATGCGGAGGTGCGGGAAGTGCTGTCATTACCACATTACATATTTCCGCCAGCTCTCGCGGAGTTTTAGTGCGTGGAATATTCGCAGGTAAATGTTCACCAGCTCTGGGGTCGCAGTCATGTAGTGCCGACACTGTGAATCCTGCTTTAATTGAGAAGGTTCGTTGTCACTTTTTCACCAACAGTACCCAAGCCAACGACTCCGATTGTTTGAGTCCGGGTAGATTTGGTTGAGTATGCTGCTGTCGCTGCTTGCCAGTTGCGAAAATTTCGCGGCAGAGAACGAGAAAACATAGTGGAAAACATAGTGGAAAACATACGCGAAGCCACTTCAGATATTGCATGCAAAATTAGCTAGTGTTTCCAGAACACGCTATCAAAATTTCCATGACCTTACCCATTCTCGTACCCAGAGCCCTTCTTACGCGCGGTCAACGGAGCGCGACGAGGGGCTCTGGCCAAATCCCATTCTCGTACCCAGAGCGCTTCTTACGCGCGGTGCGACGAGGGGCTCTGGCCAAATCCATATCCGAACTCGCATTAATTAACTGGCATCTGATTGACTAGTTCTAACACCGGATATTGTTTTCTTACCATGTTTTTATGGTATCCGGTTATGGATTTGGCCAGAGCCCCTCGTCGCGCTACGTTGACCGCGCGTAAGAAGGGCTCTGGGTACGAGAATGGCCAAATCCATATCAAACTGGCATCTGATTGGCTACAACGAAGGTTATTGTTCTAATACCGGATATGTCCTTTTTATACCATGTTTTTATGGTATCCGGTTTTGGATTTTGATACACCCTGTAGTTACAGTATTAGTTCATGAATCGCGTGCAGATATGTAACTGTATTTAATATTGTCATAGACTTCAACATGTAGTATTGTTAGGCTATATGTAGTACCATTAATCGAAATATCTGTTAAGGTTACAGAACACCTTTGAGTGTTAATTTTGCCTAAAACTTTTTTATTGGTTTCCATGAAAGCATTAGACTAGTTCTACTATCTGACAAAGTTTCAACGAAAAATGTTGAAAACTCGCGGAGTTATTTAATAAAATACATTTCGCTGCAATAAGAAAAACATTGAAAATGTAATATTCAAATTCAATTTTCTCCCGAAGATTTTACGGGTAATTACTGATTTTCAAACGAGTTGTGCTCCTGCGGGTTTTGACCAATTTTTCTCAAATTTGCACAGGACATAGCTAAAGACGTCAGTTTCAAAATTGTGTTCGGCTTTTTCTTAGTTTTGGATATTTTAATAATAAAGAGCAATTCACTCAAATAATTCAGAAATATATTGCAGTCGTCAAAGAAATCGCCATATCAGCGGAATGACGAAATAAACAAAAATTTCCGGATACAATTTTTTAGAACAACTATTTTACTGTATAAAAATGATATTTTCATAAATATAACTTAAAACCAGCAGGACCACAACTCAAAAGCGTAACCGGTACCGCGATTTAAGATTTTCCTGAATAATTCTTATATTATTTTATTGTTTGTTAATTTTACAACTTTACCATATTTTGCATGCACTGGAGAACATTTGGTGAAAATTTGATGAAAATCGGACTGATATATTGAGCGCGCAGTAGCGATTTTCCGCAAAACGCCAAAAAGGGTGTCCTGTAACCTTAAAATTACTTAACTGTGCAAGTATACCAGGTAAACAAATAACAATAAAGAAAATTACAACAAGAAACTCATAATTATATAGTTTGGAATTACAAGTATAGTACAACAAAGTAAAGAGTGACAAAGACTTCATATGTTCATATTAACAGTTCTTCGATATTAAGTTAGCTATATATCCATATTTGGAAAGTTTAGTTATAATGAACAGCTAGGGTCTTTTTGCGAATATACGTGAAATAACCGGTATAAATACTTTTGATATATTACACTTGTAAACGTTCTAGTATATACAAATATATACTATTCATGTATGTAACGACTAGTTCTGATATACTGCACTAAAAAAGTTTGTTGTACATATGGCAACAATTTTCATGTCATGTTTATGTAACGAGGTAAATAGACGCAAATATGACAAGCCAGGACGCGAGCTGGAAAACCAGAGGCGAAGCTTTGTCTGAGAAATTGTCGTTACACAACTTTGATTTACAACACGTGATGCCACATGCCTTGACAGTGTTGCCATAAGTTGTGTTTTGTGATTCGCATACTTCTTCTTCTTTTTTCTCACAATTTTCTGTACTACCGCAACCTTTGCCAGTAAGTTGACTGTTGTTCTTGAAGTTTAGGTGGAAATCGAGACAGTACGTCGCTTCATGCTTACACACTTCTGTCTCTTTTTTGCAGTATCCAGTTTTGTTATATGAACACTTGTAACATGTTACTAGTAAAAAGTGAGATAGAAATTACAACATATAAAACAACATGTATAGAAATAACCTCATGTTGGTAAAATTTATCCCACTCGTGCGAGCTCGTATTGTCAGCGGACGTCTTGCACAAAATGGTCAGTCCTGTGCAAAATGCAAAACTTTCAATTTGGATATAGATTCATGTCTCGCTAATAGGGTTAGCGGTTAGGGTTAGGGTGGGGATTAGGGTTAGCATTATAAATAGCGAGACATGAATCTATAACCTTCAATTTCCCCCGCACGTCCGCTGGAAAATGCGAGCCTGCGGTACTGGCTCCGCAGAATAATAATAAGCTATAATTCTGACATTTCGTATTGTCAGCGGACATCTTGCACAAGATCTAATCCGTACAGCAGAAGGTTAAAGGCATGCATGCAGCGCTGTAACAGCGCTACCCTTTCTGAGTAATAATATTGTCTCCACAAAAAGAGGGACTTTATATATGCATGCAGGAGAAAAAGTGAAATTTTGATTCATGAGTTGAAATTCTTTATTTATATATTATTTTTACGGGACCGGTTGTTCAAAGCTGGATTAGAACTAACTCTCGGTTAAAATTTAACCTGCTGTTTTAGTTTATGTTTTCTGCACGTTCTAAAACTCCAGAGAAGAAAACTCCAACTGATTCAGACAGGATTTCTAAAGAAATATTTCCAAATTTAAAAACAAGCTGTGGGGAAGTTAGCTTTGAATTTTAGGTTAACCTAGGGTTAAGCTTTGAACAACTGGCCCATGGACTCACGGAGAATATATTTTCACCCATAAGACTGTGTGGGTTGTATTACTCCCGGTGTAAATTCAAAGGTGCATGCTGTTGATAACAGAAGAAATTTTATCAAACTTACATCCACTATAGGATATTGATGCAGAAGGATTTACAGTGGCAGTTCCTAGAAAAAGAAAGTAAAAGTATATATGTTTTATATCACAAGAAATACCGTATATAGCCTCCTCTCCCCTCCCGAATATAAGCTCCCCCGTGAGGAAGAGATTATTTCGCTGGCCTCAAAGTGACAAAACGTGAAAGGAACGGTTTTACTAACACTAACCCTACTCCAAACACCAACTCTAACCATAACCATAATCCTTACCCTAACCTTAACCTAACCCTGCTACAAATTTGTTTCTAAACCAATCTTGAAGAAAAAAGTTTTGACAAAATGTCATTCTGAGGTCAGCGAAATAGTCGATGCTCGTGTTTATGAGCCCACCATACTCATGCACTCAGGCCATTCCGAATATAAGCCCCTCCTCCCGAATATAAGCCCCTACAAGACGATAATTGCATTACAGTATTACAATATGTTATGATGTAACTTGTTTTATTATGTGTTATATACTGTATTGTATATTTATATTTCTTTTTGTTAACGGTATAGTTTAAAAGTACAACATACAGTATAAATATTATTACTAACATCAAATTTTGTCGGTATATAAGCCCATCAAAAATAATAGTTCTCAGATCTAAGCAAGAATTCAGGCACATACCTGCTTTCGATGGTGCAATAGTTGTTGGTTGCACTGAAGCATTGGGACCAGTATTTGAACTGGACTGTGCTGCAGCTTGGGTTGAGACATTGCTGACGGCTACAGAATTTGAACTGACAGCAGAGCCATTCGTCGCAGTGTGCGAACTAGGACTGATTTGAGATTGTGAGATGGATGTCAAAGTGGCTGTAGGAGCTGCTGCCACAGAACTGGTAGCACTTGCGGTAGCTTTACTATCGACAGCAGCAGTTGACGGCGAGGGTTGAATTGAAGTCATAGTACCGGCTAAGTTGCCTACTTGGCTGCTTGAACCTGAAGTGACTACCACATTACTTGGTGTTGTTGCCACATTTGATTGTGTCACAGATGTTGTTGCCACACTTGATGGTGTCACAGATGTTGTTGCCACATTTGATGATGTCACAGATGTTGTTGCCACATTTGATGACGTCACAGATGTTGTTGCCACATTTGATGACGTCACAGATGTTGTTGCCACACTTGATGATGTCACAGATGTTGTTGCCACACTTGATGATGTCACAGATGTTGTTGCCACACTTGATGATGTTACAGATGTTGTTGCGACATATGATGATGCTACAGATGTTGTTGCCACATTTGATGATGTCACAGACGCTGGTTCTGCTACAGATGTTGTTGTTTGAGATGATCCCTCTACAGTTGATTGTTGACTAGCAGAGGAAGTAAGCATAACATTCACCCCAGAGGTAGATACTCCCTCTGTACTAGATGCCATAATACTCATGGATGACTCGCTATTTTGTGAAACTGAACTTGAATTTGTCATTGAACTTTGTACAGCAATTGTTGTCGAACTCACACTTGAGTTTAGCATACCTAGAGAAACAGCGAAACAATTAGTTATTTTCTAGCCGATTGTTCAAAGCTGGATAATAGCACTGACCCTCGGCTCGGTTACTCTAACCTCAGTAACCTGCTGTTTTAGTTTATGCATGTATTTCTGCACATCTGTTTATTCCAAAGCATCAGAAAAAAACAACTCCTATATACTGATCCAGACAAGATTTACAAAGAAATATTTCTAAACTTATAAACAAGCTGTTAGGAAGTTCGCTTTGAATTTTAGGTTAACCTAGGATGAAGCTAATCGGATTTCGAACAACCGGCCTCCGAAGAATTTAAACAGAATAATTCCAAAAATTGTTTCTGTAGAGGAAACCGAAACATCAAAAACAATTTTGGGAACCCTGGGTACGAGGTTGAGCAAAAATAAAGAATTACATTTTACACCGTAATGAACTCCCTAATTTCGTAAGGCAGAGTATGCCCGTTCCCAGGCTGGAAAATAGTATTGAACTATATATGAAGTGTTGTGTACTATTTAAAACACGAGTAGGAGTGTTTTATCATATATAAAAGGCGAGGCAGCCGAGTGCTTTGTATCTGATAAAACATGAATTA